TAATTTGTATGTACGTATATAGCATTTTGTATTTGGCAAATAAAAATACCAATGAATTGAACCGCACGCAGTGCATGTGATGAGAAAATACTTAGCCACTTAGGCAAACGAAAATTATGTATGTATGTAGTATAAGCGAAATGGAAGTATGAAATAAACTAAAATGTGTAAAATGTATATTTTAACGCAGCGGGTGCTATGTATCTCGACTTATGTAATATTCATAATGCTCGAATTTTCAATAGCGTACTGAGACATGGCGGCGAAATTCAACGTTGTGCAAGTGTGAAAAGAAGCTAGCGGCGTTTTTTTCAAAAAATTCCTTTACTAAGCAAACTTTGAGGTATTGTTTGGGGCATTTTGTTTTTGCTTAAAGTCTCTTTACGTTTGCCAAGTATATTTTCACAGTTTACTTATGCCACACACACGAATGCTAATATTATCTAATTAAATACATATTATTTGTTTGAAATTTTAATAGACTTTGACAAGCCGATTTTATTTGCTCTTCTTTAAATTTAAGATACATTTAGCAACTGAATATATACTTTAACCCTTTTCTAAAAAATTTTCCGCTCATAAGGAGTTGCGTTTTTCCAATGTGCCTCATTTTTATGTAGCTTTATTAAGAAATAAATATGTTTACCAAAAGTAGATAAAGAATCTAAAATGTAGAGGCAATTTTAGAAAAAAAATGAAAAAAGTGTTAGAAAAAAAGGTAATTTTTAGCAAAAAAAAAAACGAAAAATGGATAATTGTTAGTTTTTAAGAACAAGTTTATGTGCAGAAAAATTTTTTTTTGGAAAATGGCGTAGTATTTAGAAAAAAAATTAATTTTAGAGAAAAAGTATTGTTAGCAAAAATATTTCCTTTAGGGTAAAAACATATTTTTACCAACAAAGAATAAATCACGAAACACAACTAAAAGTATTTTTTTGTGAAAACAATCTGTAAATAGTAAAAGAATTAATTTTAAGAAACAAATGAGTGTTAATTTTTAGAAAAAGAAATTTGGAAAAGAGTATTTATTCTTAAGAAAAAATAGGTTTAAGAAAAAAAATTATTAGAAATTATTTGCTTAAAGAGAAAATGTGGTTTAACAGAACATTTAATTTAGAGAAAAGTATATTTTTAGTAAAATAAATTATTTAAAAAAAATTTTTTTACAAAAATATTTGATTTAGAAAACATGGTTTTACAGAAAACAGAATAAAACTACTAAGCAAGCGAGGGTTTATTTTTTCGCAGAATAGAATTTTTAGGAAAAATTTTAAGGACATTGATTAAAAAAAAAATTCACCAAAAACAGGAAAAATCACTAAGTTCAAGTAAAAACATTTCTTTTGAAAAAAAATGTAAAAATAAATATTTTAAGAAAAAATGAATATTTAGAAAAAAAATATTTTTCAGGAATTCATAAATTTTTAGTAAAAAAAAATTTGGAAAATACTATGCAATCTTAAAACAAAATAGTTAAAAAAAATTTCATCATAAAAATATTTGGTTTAGGAGAATATAAGATTTTAAAGAAAACAGAATAAAATTACTAAACAAGAGTATTTTTTTTGCAGAAAACATTGAATAAAAAAATTGTTGTTTTTTTTGGAGCTCATATACATGTTTTTTCGGCTTTTAAAAGAAGAGGCTCTCAATTTATCGTTTATATTTTTAATTATAAGCTTACACTCCAGAAAGGGTTAAGCCAGTGTTTCTCAAACAATGGTACACGAATACATAATAGGCGACCACAAAATGAAACCATAAAGATAGGGATTAACATTACACTACCTTTTATTACATTTAAATCAATCCACTAGATACAATTTTTACTAAATCGTTGTTTTGGACTTCTATTTCCATATTACTTTTATGTAAGTACAGCCGTTTAGTCTGAGATAATTTGAATAAATTAACCATACAAAATAAATGTGTAAATAAATATGTGATAGGTGTGATATTGTCTGCGGCATCGGCATCAGCGTGTATAATCGTACTTATGCTAAAGTGTGTGCTTAAGTACAATGTGCTTGAGTAAGTATTGCATTGCCACGGAAGTTTTATTTACACAGAGCAGAGTAGTTCGTATCAAAAAAAACTTATTTCGCGGCTTTGACTCAGTAAACATAGTTTATGTTTGTAGATAAATAAAACATAATTTCAACTTCAATTGGTGGTGACTAATGTAAGTATGTATGTAAGTAAGTATGTAAGTTAAACACCTGCGCTCAATTTGACGAGTTGAAAATTGGTGGACAGACAGACACCTGCTACGAGAACGCATCAAAACTCAGCTCCCCTAAGGGTGGCGGCTATGATGACAGCGATATTTGAGAGTTATGTCGCAGCAACTCAGCCGGAAAATGAAAAATATAAATTGACTTGTACGCTGAGAAAAATAATCAAAAACATTTCAACTCCACAGCTCGCGGCTCGTTAGTTCGTTGATTCGCATGTGTAACTCACTACATACTATTTAAGTATCTACTTAGTAGACGTTTACTGTGAACTTGAATTGTCTGACTAGAGTTAAGACCTGGGAAAATGCTATTGTGTTCTTAGTGCGTTTGGCCGGTATAATACGCTTTGAAAACGAAAGTGATTTTGTTATTTATTTAGTCAACAACTAACTGCGGAACGAAACGTTTGTGTTGGAAAATAAGCGTATTTTTTTTTTGTGTGAAAGATAAAGCACAGAATCAAGTAGGCGTTAAATTTCGCAAAATGTTCTCGAGCATTAAAAAGTTGGCAGTTGCGCTGGTCAGTTAAATTACTTGGAGATTTTTCGTTCTTTGCTAATTTGCTACACGCGCACAGTGAATTCTTAACTAATAACGTGATTTTGTACTTTTTTTTGTAGCTTTGTGTGGTCGTCCTTAGCGGCATTTCAGCGGAGGAAGAAAGTTCAAGTGCTGCCAAGAGTGCTGCTGTTCAACAAGATTTAACTACTTCAGCCACTTCTGCGAAATGTAAGTAACTTTATATAGGCACACGTGTATGTACTATATGTGCGTATGTAATTCAATACCTTAAATAAATATAAAGATATGAATAAAAAAAGAAAAAAATTATAGTGCGGTACATACATTGATATACGCATATATCTGTGGAGTTTTGATAAAAACACCTTATCTCGAGTTAGGCCATTTTCACGTTAAAACAAATTTCACTGCGTTTTCAACAGAAGCTTCTTGCAATATGTAGAAGCTTCATAAAATATAGAATTTGTTTGGAGTTACTTGTTCCGTTTAAATCCAAAGTCAAACCTTTTCAATTCCCTTAAGTTGTTTTATCAAAATACGACAGACAAACAGTGACTCAAACAATTAACCACGTATTGATTTTTTTTTTAATATTCGTAATGTTTTTCCAAAAAAAAGTTCTCAAAAATCCACGGGATTTTTAGCAGTTTGAAACTTGCACTACATTAGACTAAAATTATATGGGCTATAAACTGCATACCCAAAAATGTGCCTAAGATTCAGATTAAAAAGTAGAAATTTTGATGAAAATTTGTTGAATTTTCTAAAATTTTGTTGTAAAGTTTGAAACTCTAATTTATGTGGTTTTGGCTAAAGTTTAGAAAAATAACGAAAAAAACTTAGCTCGAAAAACATTACGAATATTTGAAAACATCAACATGTAGCCATTTGTTTGAGTCACTGTATGTATACCAAAATGCTCTGAATCAAGAGAGAAGTCGATTAGCCATGTCTGTCTGTCTTTTCGTTTGTCCGTGTGCACGATAACTTCAGAAAAAATATATACTAGATGATCCCAAAGTGATTTGGTGTAAAAGTTGCCCTTTAACTTATATAGAGGGTGATACATCGAGATGAAAATAAAACAGTACTGGATGTCGGAATTATTATTACCAGTGATCGGACTTAAAAAAAAATTTGTGTGGTAGAATCTGGAAAAAATGAGGTAGATTTCAAAAAAATGTGGCATATATCTGGTTTTGGATCAAACTTTGTACAAAAATTAAAAAAATTCTACAAGGTTTCATCTAAATTGCAAACATTTTAATTAGAATCTAAAAAAACTGTATTTTAGTATACTGAAGTTCAAGATTGAAGTTTCTAGTTTCTCTGACATTTGCCGATTTTGACAATTCTCAAGCAAAAGTAAACTTTAGATACACTGAAATTTGCAACTGAAATACTTTCACAAAAATCGCCGTTATTTAACATTTTCGCTATTAATTTTTTTTATAAATCATATATTTTGCAATTAAATACAATAAAACCACGGCTCCTGTCGAAAAATTGATTATTGAACAAATTAACTATTTATGTTGTTAGTGTTTAGTGTTGGACAATTTTTGCTCTTAAAATTAAGAAAATTATGTCGAGCAAAAATAAAACTACGCATAAACGCGAATATGTGGTTGATTTCAGATCTTGTGTGGTAGATGCTCAAAAAAGTGGCAGATCTACCACAATGTGGTAGAAGTCCGATCACTGATTATTACCCGAAAAAACAATCTCTGACATTTACTTTTTAAAACTAATTTCATTTAAATATTGCCGGCGACTACGCTGTAAGTGGTCCAATTTTCAATTACTCACTCCACCGAGTAATGTTGGCTTCCAAGTTTGAATCATATAGACGACAAGTTTGGACTTCACAAAACCTCAAAGAAAAACATCTAGAGGTGTGATATCACACCATAACTTGCTGAAACCAAATGTTGCCGACAAGATGGGCTTTCAGGCAACAAAAATTGGTAGCGCTCGCCATTGATGGTTATGTTTGTTCTGTCTGCGGCCAATATTTGACTGAAATTATTTAAAAAAAGTAAATGTCAGGGACTGTTCTTTCGGGTAATATTAAAGAGTTAGACATCCAGTTATGGTTTAAAGGTTTTATTTAAAACAGTGGTCGGCAACAAACACATTGAAACCTTAAAGACGTGTGAAACAAAAATGTGCTCAGTGAGCTATGGCCTGTCGACTACTGATTTGATATAAAAAAATGCTCTAGAATATAGACTCTAGATGGATCACCCCATAAAAAGTTGTTATTAACAAGTACGAAGGTCTAAGTTCGGGCGGAGCCGAACATTAAATACCCGGCCCAAGTATTAAATATATGTTTTTAATCTTTCCGAAAACTATCGCTTATTTTTAAGCCGGGAAGGTGTTACCCCTATTTTAAACATCTTCGGTAGAATGTTCAATTAGACATAAACAAACAATGTTATTTCTTTTCAAGGGATTGTTTTTAGTATCAATTTTGAGTAAATTAGCGTCCTTAAATTTCGAAGTATTGAAGTTTCATGCATTTCTGAAATCTACCGTTATATGAAAAGCGGCCGTGATTTTAGTCCGATTTCTATAATTTTCAGCGTTTTGCTTTTATGTGGCAAGCACAATAACCATACCGAGTTTGGTACAAATTGGTGGAACGGTTACCGAGATACATATATGCGATCACAAGCGGGCGTGGCTACGCCCATTTTCCAAAAATTTATAAAATTCTTATTTTTCGTCTGAAAATTGTTGTAAATATCAATTTTGAGTGAATATTCTTTAGTAGTTACTAAAATATCGCAGTTTTCGTATTTCTGAAAATTACCGTTATATGGGAGGTAGGCTTGGTTATTGTCCGATTTTGCCCATTTTCAATACCTTCCGTCCTACTCCAGAAAGAAGTGCATGTACCAAGTTTCGTTAAGATTTCTCAATTTTTACTCGAGTTATCGTGTGCACAGACGGACGGACGGGCAGACAGTCACCGCTTAATCGATTTCTCTTTTCATTGTGATCATTTATGTATACATTTGTTTATATCTATCTCGATTCGTTTTGCCTGTTACAAACAACCGTTATGTGAACAAAGTTATAATACCCTTGCGCACAAGTGCGCTCGGGTATAAAAACTAAATAACCCTTCCAAAAGAGCCGAAAACGAATCCTACAGAATGGAAAGTCGGCCACGTTTTCAATTCGCTGAGATTTGAATGCGTCAAAAGAGCAGCGAAAACATCGAAAAAATCATGTTTTTAAAGGGAAACATTACTTTGTTTTAAATTAAACTTTAAAGGGGAAAACGTTTTCTGAAATTTAAGTTCGTGTATTTTTTTTATAAAATATCTACTAAGGAATGAATTTAATATAAGTATTTACTTATTTATTTTCTTTACTTGTATACCAAAAATAAATATTTTTATAACAAAAATATGAAAAGAAATTTAATTTTTGTAAAAACTTTCGATAGGGCCCATTTCCGTTAACACTATTTTGAGAATCGGAATCGGTCCAAATTCCCGGTTCTGCTTGGAACGGGACTCGACAGAACGCTTCTTAAATACTCGGAACCGCTCATCACTACTAGCTACTTCAGATTTGCACCTTATTATGCATAATTGCATACTAGGGCGAATGACTAGGCTTTTCCAAACCGGTTTCCATAGTTTTTTTTTTGATATCTATAGGTGGTTTTTTTGAAATCTTGATTTTTCGAATATCGAATAAACCGATTTTTATTTTATTGAACAAACCGGTTTTTAATTTCATACAAATCTTGAAAAGTCTTAAAAGTTTTAAGTTTTTCGAATTTTTCAAAGCTTTTTCCAGTTTAAGGGAGACCCCTAAATAGTAGTTTTAATATCATATCCTAGGTTATGTGGGGAGGAATATTATGTCACATTTGATTCCAATAAATCAATGTTTTGCGCTAAACGTTTTCTACGTTTGGCCGAGCTGCTCCTGCAATTCGCGTTCTGCTTCTTGATGTTGTGACAAAAATTGAGCATCTACGTTTTACTTCACCTCCGAAGATGCAGAATTAAGTGAAGACAGAAATACACTCGGAGGTTTGATATTGGCTGACGAGGGGCGACCGATATTTAAAAACAAGTTTTTTCTTGATGTTACTGGAACCAGAAATTAAAACAAGAACCTTCCGAGTGGCAGTAGGCACATCTAAGCACTCGGCTACGCCCGAAAAAAGTCAGAGAAAATGCAATAATTCAAAGATAAAATAAGACCAAACGTGCACTTTTCACTGATTTTCATTTTACTTTTGATCTTAAAAAAAAAACTTGGAACTTATTTTGCTTTGCTCTTCTCCAAATAAAAGCTATCTGTAATATTAATAGTTTTATTTTAATTTTTGGTCATAACTTCATACTAACATAAACATTTCCACTGTGTGTAAACTATGTAAAATAAAATCATTTTATCCGTTTTTTTTTAATTTCAAAATTGAGAACCGGTTTTTTTTTCAAATTACAATTTTTCGAAACCGGTTGTGGAAAAAAGCCGAATAATCGATCACACTACTGGCTACTGAAAACCTTTCTAAGAAATCCAATTTAAAAACTCGAAATTTTTTGAAAGTTTGTTGTTTTTTTTTAATATTACACAAAGTTTGAAACTTGTGTTTATATGATTTTTGTTAAAGAATAAACTATATTTTAATAAAAAATATCCAAAATTAAATAACAAAAAATATATTATTAAAACTTGTCAAAATGTGGCGCTTTTATAATTTTGACGCGGGGTCTAGTATTTCTGGATTTCCACTGGGCATTATTATCTAGTACGGTGACCATTCGTTTCGATTTTGAGAAAATTGTCCCGCTGAATATTTTTTAAAGGGCGATTTGTCCCGATTTTTCATATTTGTACTGATTAAGTCCCGATTTTCAGTGGTTTTTTTATTATTTAAAAATTGTTCTCTGGCCCAAAAACAATTTTTCATACAAACGTGGTACTCTCGTTATATTGCAGTCATCATTATTGTAAACGATTTTTCATAATTATATAATAAGTTTATTTTAATGAAACGATTCTAACTTGAATCTAGTGAAATTATAAAAAATAATACTAATTCCCTAAAAAAAAAATGCATGGATATGAAAAATATAAGCCGTAGAGACAGTGGAAAAATTATATGTAAGTAGGGATGAGACATTTCAGCAATCTTTGGCTATTCCCCTTTCGATTATTTATGAAAGTATAGCTCGCTATTTAAAAAAAACCATGTAAATCAAACTTTGCATAAAAATTCGACAAAGTTTCATCAAAATTTTGAGATTTTTAATTCGATTTTTAGATTTAGAAACATTCTGAGTATGCAGTTTTGTAGCCCATTCAATTTTAGTACTGAAGTGCAAATTTTAAGTAGGACTTATCGTGATTTTTGGTAATATTTTTTTGTGGAAGGCGTTGCTCATTTCCTCTATACAAAAAATTTCCTAACATACTTTGTATGGAAGAAAATGCGCGAACAAAAAATTGTCGAAAATAAACGGTAAGTCCAAGCTACGAACTTGAACTTTGTTATACTAAAATTTATTGGGCTACAAAAACATCATGATAAAAAAGGTCTAAAGATCTGATTAAAAAGTTTAAAATTTCGGGTAATATTTGTTAAAATTCGTCGAATTTGAAATTTTGATTTACATGTCTTTTTTTTTAGATAGTAAGCCACATTTTCATAAAAAACGAATCAATATTTTTTAGACAAAGAAAAGTAGCAAAACTTGCTAAAAATGTATTTTCCCTATTTACATTCTCGTCACCGTATATATTGTGTGCATACATTTTGTTGTGTCTTTTTATTCTAAAACAAAATTGTATGTTTGGATTCGATGCTTTAGAAATGTCCCGATTTTTATCCACAGAAATCTGGCCACCGTAACTATTAGACAAAAATTGTAATAAAAAGTTTGTTATTTAAAATTATTCGTGTTGTTTAGCTTAAAAAAAATACTCAAAAAGTGCATTTGCAGATGGCATGGATGGTCATTTAAAATTACAAATTTTTTTTCTCATTTCAATGGCTAGTGGAAATTCATTGTTGTGTTCAAAAATTAAATGAATGAATATTTCGGCAATACGTGAATTTTTCTATCAGAAGTGTATAAAAAATAAAGTTCACACATTTAATTTCGAAGACTGATGAAAATTCGTTAAAAATCTTTGCAGAAAAAGAGTACACAATATTTTGCTGATAGCAACTAAACTTAACTTAAATATAAAAAAAAAAAATAACTCAACGATTTTCATAATAAAACCTCAGTGTACGCAGCTCACCCACTATGAAAAAGCTTTCAATTACAACAGCTACAAACTCAATTTTTCTGCCATGCCAACTTTTATTACGTTGGCGCTCTGAGCGCAAAGTTCCATATACGAGTATTGCCGCAATTTAATTGCGCCGTTAGGTATATAAACGAAGGCTAATTTAACACTATTCATCTATGTAAATGTTTTTATGAATTTTACTTGTTTTTAGTTGCCTATGTATGTATGTATTATTAAAACTATTTTTATTACTTGCACTGCAAAAAAACTGCATTAAATTTTAATTATCTCTAAAATGGAGTTTATATTTTCTCTTTCACGCTTAGTGTTCAACTTGGGCAGTTTATTTGGACAGAATCCCGGCAGCAATGGGTATGGTACCGGCTACGGATATGGTAACGGTAACAACTACTATCCCAGCAGCTACAGACCGAGCACCTATTATCCATACAAGAATAATTACTATCCCACCGGCACATATCCAAGTAACAACTATCCCGGTAGTTATTACCCCGTCAGCAGCGGATGGAGTGGCAGCAATTACCCGAACTATGCAACCAATGGTGGCTATTATCCAAGCACTGGCGGCTATGGCTATAATTATGGTAGTACCGGCACGGGTTACTCTCCCAGCACTGGCACCGGTTACTATCCCAACACCGGCACCGGTTACTACCCCAACACCGGCACTAATATACTAGGCGGAAATGGCGGCTATGGTGGTTATGGAGGTAATGGCGGCTTAAACCAATACTATGGTTATGGGAATCCACTCTATGCTGGTCAAC